GCCCCGACCTCGAAACCCTAGCTCCGGCGCGCCGCCGCCATGGGAACCGCTAGGAACACCGCCGCCGAGCACCTTCACGGCGACCTCCTCCTCCTCCTCCGGCACCCCATCCCGAAACCCTACCTCCGGCGCGCCGCCTTCACGGGATCCGCTCTCGAAACCCCGCCCCCGTGCTGGTGCTCATGCGCCGCCGTGGTGCCCCTGGTGCTCGTGTGCCACCGTGGTGCCCCTGGTGCTCGTGTGCCACCGTGGTGCCCGTGCGCCGCCGTGGTGCCCCTGGCGCACATGCGCCTCGCTGGTGCGCCGCTGTGGTGCCCCTGGTGCCCATCCGTCGGCGACCTCGTGCCTCTCCTTCCGCGAGCCCGTCGACCTCTCCTTCCCCGGCCCAGGCGCTCTCCTTCCTCGTCCTCCAAAGGTACCTGTGATGAACTGCTCCCTATGATGCCTGTGATGAACTGCTGCCTGTGATGCTTTTGTTTTGTTGCCTGTGATGAGAATTGAGAACTGAGCAGATGCCACTGCCAATGATGCCTATGATGAACTACTTATTTCCTTACTGGTATGCTGCTTGTGATGCTTTTTTTGTGAAAACTGAGCATAATGCCACTGCCTTTTGGGTGCTATTGCTATTAACTGAGCACAATGTCATTTAGTCTATTTGAATTACGTGAGCACAATGCCATTTAGCCAAATTCAATTTTGTTAGCTGCACATTTTACTTGCTGCTACCACACTCTACTCTACTCTTGTCTCTACACTGTCTCTCTACTCTGGTAGCTGAACATTTTGGCTTCACTTTGTACTCTGCTGGTACTGTACTACTACTACTATACTACATTTGTTTGATTGTTGCCTATGATGCCACTGTGATGGAATGGGATAGATTTTAACTGAGCATATGCCACTGCCAATGATGAAATTCGATGAATTTTGCATGAATTTGAGATAAGAGACTGGGTGCCATTTAACTGAGCACTTGCTACATGTGATGCTATTTTTTGCTGAGCAAATGCCAAATATACATCTTCCTGTTAATAAAGCACTTGCTGCCTATTTCTATGATGCTACTATCTTGCTACTCTACTATGTGATTCTTGTTCTTTGTACTATGATGCATATGTGATTTGGGATCTAGTTTTGACAATTGTTTTATCTTTGTGGCATTTATGATGATGATTTTTTAAACTTTAAAAAAATTTGCTGAGGCAGTGGCATATGCAATGATGTCTAGACTTTTTATGCTGAGGCAGCGGCGATGATGATGAAATGTCCCTATGCTTGTGTGCTGCTAAACTAGGATGGCTTGTATCTCATATACAAGCAACCACTGATGACAATAATGGACAAATCTAAGCCAAATATGTAACTGATTCAACAATCTACTACTATGTGCTTGTTGTTGCTGCTGTTCTATTGATCTACTACTGCCTACACTCTATTGCCTACTGCTGCTGCTATACTCTGAATTCGATTATCTTACTACTGCTGCTGCTATGCTCTGAATTCAATTGTCTTACTACTACTTATACTACTACTGCCTACTCTACTACTCATGTTGCTGTCTATACTACTACACTACTACTTATACTACTACTGCCTACTCTACTACTCCTGCTGCTGTCTATACTACTACTTATACTACTACTGCCTGGTACTTCATTACATGGCTTTCAATAGCATTACTTAACATTTCGATATGCAAAACACATGGTGCCCCAAACAGAGGCCTGAGAGTCTACATTGTGGATACTACGTATGTGCTATGATGAGTAATACAACTGCCTACCGGAGACACCCTAGTCTGGTAAGTTTGAGCCACTTCACCCATACGTAGTATAGCTCATGTTATGAAGTACTAGGCCTAAACTTGTTCTCTTGTAGTGGAGAGAAGAGAAGCACCATAGAAGGGACGTGTACAAGGATGACGAACTCTTAGAGCTAGTCGACGACCTTTGCAACTTCATATTGGACCAAATTGTGAATGTCAAAGGCGATTACCATGATGTACTGTCCGACTTAGGCAGTAATCCTACATATCAACACCTTCGTGAGCTTAAAAGGCTAGCTCTAGGCCGATGATAACAATTTGATGGACTTGTGATTTTGAACTTGTGGATTGGACTATGTAATGATAGACTTGTGAATTATGACTTGTGATTTGAACTTGTGGATGTATATATGTATAAATGTGGTGGTTCAGATCTAAATTTGAATTATATATTCTGTGGATGTATATATGTATAAACTGTGGATGTATATATGCTGTAGACAGATTTGAATTTTTTAATTATTTTTTTTACTAAAAAATGCACTGTAGGGACAGTTCTAGATTGAACCGCCCCTACAAATAACCTCTGTAGGGGCGGCTGAAAACACCAACCGCTCCTACAAATCCATTTGTAGGGGCAGCTGGAAACACCAGCCGCCCCTACAAAGGTATTTGTAGAGACGGTTAGGAAGCCGCCCCTACAGAGGTCCTATTTGTAGGAACCCCTGGAGGAGCGGCTGGCGTAGCCGCCCCTACCGATGCTTTTAAGCCGCCCCAACAGAGCCTTATTGGCGTAGTGGTCATTTTTCGGCAAAGCATGCGTGTTGCAAGGGCATAGAGCTAGGATCGTCCCTGTCCCTGCTTTGTCTCACTATCACGTACGTTTTGAACAATGCACGCGTACTAACCTTGTTGCGCATGTGCTGGAGATGGAGCTGTGAAATGACGCTTTACGGCACTTTCTTATGGGGACGTCGGCCGGCCTCAGCTGTTATGGCTCTGGATCTTTTTTGGAATATAATTTTTAAAAATCAAAATTTCACATGAAAAATATATATGATTTAAAGAAACATATCCCATGTTTCAACCGCCAATTTTTCCCTTCCTCAGACCCCACTCATGTGGAAGCCTCCAGCACTGGGTCTCCCCTTTAGAGATACAAATGCTGCACGCATTTTATATAAATCTAGTCAAAATTACGACACGAAAACAAAAAAAACGACAGTTATTTAGGGACCGAGGGAATAGTCCCTAACCAAGTAACCCTCAATTAAAAGTGATGTAAAAAACCCTCAATTAAAAGTTGGAGCCTTTTTGGCCCACTTGTACATATCCATGGACCTAAATGTACAATTCTAAAGTTTATAGACATGTGCAATTTACTCTAGAGAGAGTATTTACACATGAACTCAATGACTGTCTCATAAAAAGCAAAAGTGTGGTATCAACCTATCATATATGATACATACTCTTTAAAATAATAAAACAAAATACTTGACAACAGCCAATTTTTTATTTTATTTAAAAAGATTATTTACACATCAACTTAACGGCCGTTTCATAAAAAGGGAAAGTGTGCTATCACAGATTATCCATGACGTATCTGAATAGACTCTGCATTTGATTCATCAGTTTTCATGGCTGAGGTAGAGCAGTCAAATCTTCAGAGCAAAAGGCAAGACTTGCAGGAAATAGGCTACCAGTCAAACTAAGATGCTTTACTTGCACCATATACTACACCACATACTGACACCACCACCACTTTATTTGGGTTCCAATGCATTTAAGGCAGCAACTTTAAGGATAAGTTAATAAACCAATATGAAATTAACAGCAATACAATATTACAAACTAGCAGATCATGAAGCTTTTTGAATGTGGTTACCTATACTAACAATGAGACAGGAGAGAGAAGAAATATACAGAGGCTGCGTTCGGCTGATCCCAAACCCGGCTTGATCCGCTTCTTTTTTCAGCCGGAATAGTGTTTTTCTCTCACAAAATATCAACCGCTACAGTGCTTTTCAGCCGCTACAGTGCAATTTCTTGGTCAGCCGAACGCAGCCAGAGCATGGTTTTTAAGGCAACAAGGCAAGCGACCTCCTTTCCAGCTGCCTAGACAAATAAGGCACTAGCCTAGGCGATGCCATACAAACATCTATTTCTACTAAAAATTTCGAAAAAAATCAGACCTTAATGTTGCCAACTCTTAGCATCAATACCATACTAGCATATAAAATAGAGCAACTAGCATATAAAATCACATGACCAATGTACCGTACCGCTTTACTAATAAGCAAGTATAAAACAAATCACAAGTATCCAAGCAGTACCATTTGTCTTTCAGGCTCATATAAGCAAACAACTAGCAGGCAAGCATCTTATCTTGTTTAAGAAACGAATCATAGGGAGAGCAAGAGGAGCAGAGGCACGCGTGGCTCAATCTGGGCCTGGTGGGAAGGTAGGGCAAAGCTAGGAGCCAGCGAACAGCAGAGCGGAGCTTGTGTTCAGTGAGGAGGCAGGGCAGAGCAATCCTCCACAAATCCTCGCCCTAGGTCCTGGAGGACGCAGATGTGCAGCCGGAATCGACGCATGGGGAGCACAGCCAGAACCAGAATTGATGCACGGGTGGACAGCAAAGCATTGCGTGGGGGATCGATGAGCCGATGCCAAGAGCGCGCAGGGAAGAAGCCATCTCTAGCCCCCGCAGGCGCCTCGGTCCTCCACATCTCCGACGACACTTGCCCGCGCGTTGCCCACATCGAGGTGGGCAATTTGGGGAGGGTTCATGCTCGCGGACTGGGGAGCCAGAAAAAGGCATTATTTTTAGAGCAGAAGCAGCACACGACACGAATCGGGCGCGGGGGATCGGACAGAGGCCCGCTGCCCGGCCCGCCCGCACCGGGAGACAGAGGCCCACACGGCCCGGCCTCTCAAACCTTCCAGGCTCAACGCCACCCGCTGACACGGCCCGGCCCCACGGCAACTCGCTGGCTCACCACTCCCACGCGGCTATAAAGCGCGGCCCCCCGCCCCTCACGAATGCTCCGTGCCTGCCTGAACCTGAACTGAATCATTCCTTCCATTCCCCAAGCGAAATCCGCCGCCGCCATCCTCTCCTCTCCCTCTCGGCATTTCCCAGCGCTCTCGGCGCGGCCGCCGATCGACAGCGATCCAAATCCTTGAGCGGACACACAAGAGCTCAGTGCTCCTCTCGGATCCTCCGATACCGATGGCTGCCACGGTTGCGGCGGCGGAGGCTACGGCTGCGGCGGCGGCGGAAGCCAAGGGGCGGCAGCACACGGGGAAGGCGGTGGGGCTCGCCGCGCACGACGCGTCCGGCCACCTCGCGCCGCTCACCATCACCCGCAGGTATTACGTGCGTGCCCACCTTGTGTCTCGGGACCTGTCGTATACATGCATCGATCGTACGCGCGACGATGTAACGTTCAAGAGATCCCATGCCGTGCCGATCGAGGCTTCCAAAAGGGGAGGGCCAGCGGACGCCCGGCGGCCTGGGTCTCGCCTCGCCACCGTCCTCGTCGATCGAGCATGCGAGATGTATACGGATACGGTGGCTTTGGTCTGCGCCGGCCTGGGTGTGGTACAGCGTGCCGGCTATAGAGAGCCCCTCGATCTGAAACCGATTGGCGCAGGCCACCGTACACATCTCTAGCTCGGCCGGTCCCCTCGCACCACAAACGGACGGACGGACGAACGTCGCGTGTGACCTGTGTGGAATGGTCTGTCCTAAACACACGTCGTCCTGCGCTTCCCGATTGGCCCTCCAGATTAGACGGCTTGGAGATCGAGTGAGACGTGCTTTTGGATTTTCGATCTTTGCGTCTCCAAGAAACAGACTGGAGTCTGGGGCGCCGTTGGACGAAAAATCTCCATGTTTCAAAATTCACATTCACTTTACTTACTCAATAAAAATAACTATTTGATTAGTCCTAAACTGATTACCATGTACAACGTCCATACATCCTCTCATGCATGCAACTTCAATTTCTTCCAGCCGGCTCATGTCTCCGTGCATGTACTCTTCCTTGTCCTACTTTATACCTTAGCTTATTTCTCTGGCCCCAGCATCTGATGTTGGTTTCAACCAATTACTCTCTCCCTTCGTTTTTACCTATCTAAGTTACTTTTGTTCTAAGTTAAACATTACTATCTTTGGTTTGGCTATCTATTTGAAAAAATAGTTATAGTTTCACAGCATATGAATTATTTTTTAGAAGAAATAACATATGAATTATGTTTTTTTTGAAAGGACGACAAAACTTTACCGCAATTTCTATTAGACGAAGAAAGAAAGAAAAAAAGGCAAATGCCCGTCTAGTTTTTTGAATGAAAACCGGGCCCAAAAATTATACAACCGAGGAGAGTGCTCCACTCATCCTAACAACAACTGGGCAACATATGAATTGTGTATTATGAAAGCATTTTTTATTGTTTATCTAAAAGCATAAATCTTATGACATGAATTTATATAAATTTTTTGAAATCAATGATCAAAGTTATAAATGCTTGACTTATAAAAAAACTAATACGACATCTAATAAAAACGGAGGGAGTGTACTACATTGTTGGTTGGTCAATACCAGGACATCCATATATACATCAACTAGGTATATGATTACATAATCAGAAATCCCATTTTATATACAATTGTACGTGATCCCTTTTCTTCAGCGGTTGTGCGATATACATTTTCTCCACTGAAGAAAGGTTCATTCTGCGATAGGTCAACAAGACTCTAGTGGTGCCCTCTACTGGGTGAACTGTAGCCAAATTCGTCCCACAGATGGCCAACCTGTAATTTGGAGATGGCCCTAGCACCTCTCATTGTCGATCGTTATCTTCAGTATCGCTATGGACGACGTCTCATTCGTAGCAAGTCCTGTCACGGTCGGCCATGATGGTTGCAATGGCCAATTGGTGGCTGATGGGTGCTGCACTTCCAGTCTTTTCAGAATTTTAGCTTTTCAGATTAATTCATCGACCGGGAAAGATACCGATAACTTGGCAATTGACAGGCTGGATCGTCATTTGCTCGAATAACCATTGGATGATTATATTCATTCATGACTAGTATGAACATGTGTTTACTGCATTCGAGTTAATTTTATGTGTTGAATTACATGTGTAACTATATATACTAGTATTATGCAGGAGCACTGGAGACGATGATGTAGCGATAAAGATTCTGTACTGTGGGATGTGTCACTCCGACCTTCACAGCATCATGAACGAGTGGAACAACGCCATGTACCCCATGGTCCCTGGCCACGAGATCGCCGGAGTGGTGACGGAGTTGGGCAAGAACGTGACGAGGTTCAAGCCGGGCGACCGCGTCGGCGTGGGCTGCATGGTGATCTCGTGCCAGTCGTGCGACAGCTGCGACGAGGGCTTCGAGAACACCTGCCGGGGCGGCATCATCTTCACCTACAACTCCGTCGACCGCGACGGCACCGTCACCTACGGCGGCTACTCGACCGCCGTCACGGTGCACGAGCGGTTCGTGGTCCGGTTCCCCGACGCGATGCCGCTGGACCGGGGCGCGCCGCTGCTGTGCGCGGGCGTCACCGTGTACAGCCCCATGAAGTACCACGGCCTGCTGGACGCTAACGCGGATGCGCCGGCGGGGAGGAAGAAGCAGAAGCACGTCGGCGTGCTGGGGCTGGGCGGCCTCGGCCACGTCGCCGTCAAGTTCGCCAAGGCGTTCGGGATGAAGGTCACCGTCATCAGCACGTCGCCTGCGAAGAAGCAGGAGGCACTCGACCGGCTCGGCGCCGACGGGTTCGTCGTCAGTAAGGACGCCGAGGAGATGAAGGCGGCGGCGAGCTCCATGGATGCCATCATCAACACGGTGTCGGCGAACGTCCCCTTGGCGCCGTTCATGGGCCTGCTCAAGCCCAACGGCAAGATGATCATGGTCGGCCTCCCCACCAAGGCTCTCGAGATCCCGCCCTTTGATCTCATCATGGGGAACAAGACCCTGACGGGGAGCTGCATCGGCGGCATGAGGGACACGCAGGAGATGCTCGACGTGGCGGCCAGGCACGGCGTGATGGCAGATATAGAACTGGTGGCCGCGGACTACGTGAACACGGCCATGGAGCGCCTGGCCAAGGCTGACGTCAGGTACCGCTTCGTCATCGACATCGGCAACACCCTCAAGAATTCAGAGTGATCAGATCTCACACATCTGGCGACACTTTCTACTGCTGCTGCTTGTACCTTCTCGGCTGTATGATGTACACCGTTTTTGTCCGTGATATTGTAGCAAAGACGGGCGTAAATGTAGTATGATGATTACCTTCACATGCATGCTACTGAGGGCAGTGGCGGATGCAGAACAGGATCGAAGGAGAGCTGGTCTCTTCTTTTTCCTCTCTCTCTTTATTTTTCTTCTTTCTCCTAACTCTTCTTCTCCCTCACCCTCCCCGTATTTTTACCGATGCACCAGCTGTAGCCCCCCTGTAGATCCGCCCCTGATTGAGGGTGGATGCTTTTCTTGTTGTTGCCATAAAACGAGATGCGTTTTCTTTTCTTTTCCCTCCATTATATATTTGCTACTCCTAGATGATTCAACGTAAGGTCGTTTGAGAAATCATAAATCTGAATACACAAATAGTAGTAGCCGACGAAACAACTTTCAAACAGAGAACAAAACAAAACAGAACCGGGGACCACAAATAACAATAGAGAGAGGGGCATCTTTTACTAGACGAAACTCGCACCATACACGGTGGTCTCTAATTGGGCCACGTCACCTAAAAAATCTCAGCCAATAGATCTTCATCGCACAGTTTAACCACAGCCACGTAAGCTATCATTTCCCGAGCCTTCGTCCCGAGCGCGATGAAACGCCGCCTCCCCGTCCTCGCGCCGCTCAACCTCGCCTCCTGCGCCACCCGACCCCTACCCATCGAGCCCGTGTGGCACGCCGCCCTCCCCAGTCATCAGCGGCGGCCTCCCTCCCGCGCCCCTCCGCCCTGCCCTGCAACGCCTCGCTCCCTCCCACGACCCAAAGCCGCACCGCGGTCCCCTCCGCCCTGCCCCTCTCCGCCCCGCGCCCGAACGCCGCGTCGCCGCCGCCGCCACGCCCGCCCCAACACCCCCGCCGCAGCCCCGCCCTTCGCGTTCACCGCCGGCCCCATCCTCGACGAAAGCTACTGCTCACGAGCCTCTGCGCAGCCACGACGACGATGGGGTCCTCCCATCTGAAACCCCGCGCAGCAGCAGCCCCACCACCAAGCCAAAGAGAACGGCGGCAACGGCATCCCGTCCACCTACACCTGCGTCCACCGCCACCTCCCACGCTGGACTGAAGGTTGACAACGATAGCTCACATTCAGGTGTTTTACGGAATGCCCATGAGGTAAATAGCACATCCTTGCCTCCATGTATATGCCATGAATCAATGATTGTCTGGGCTGTGTTTGAGATGTTTTTTTTTGCAATATGCAGTACTGCTTCTAGCCAGTCCTCTTACATACTCACTGTGATCCATGAGCGTGTATCATGAATGGTTAATCTGTGGATGTCTGAAACAAACTGATCTTGCTGCAACTGTGGATTAATGTCTACCAATGTGTGCAGAATGTCTTTGTTACAGTTATGATTTAGATAATTGTCTAATATAAGTTTGACATATTTTTGTTTTACTTAGAAAGCTGTACAAACTTGTTCCAAAGTTGGTTTATTAAAATTGCAGGTAATTTAGTTGATATTAGTCCTCACTCCATGAGGGTATGCTGCTCTTCATTGCTGTGGAGCAATATATGTTTGAGGGAAACTAGCCTGTGGGCCATTCTCTGAATGGATCTAGCAATCATCATGCTACCTGCTACTCCAGAAGATGACATATTTTGGTTTTACATAGAAAGCTGTACAAACTTGTTTCAAAGTTGGTTTATTAAAATTGCAGGTAATTAAGTTGATATTAGTCCTCACTCTATCGAGCTAATCCACACCATCACTCCATGAGGGTATGCTGCTCTTCATTGTTGTGGAGCAATATATGTTTGAGGGAAATGAGGACAGGTGAGACATGTTTTCTGTGATAATATTTCCTCATATCATTGACATGTTGAATGCTATTGTTTAGACTTATTCAAGTGTATTTAACTAAATTTCTTTAATTTTTTTTACACTTTTCATGCTTCTGTATAGGTGGATTAATTTGAGATGCATTCTATACAATTTGTTCTAAGATCCTGTCCAAACATGTGACAAAAAAAATCCTTCTAGAACTGCCATTTTCCTAACTTATGACCAAAAATATGGCCTGACATATTATCTTTGAAATATCAGAATTGACTTGAAAAAGGTAAACATGCAAAGTATGTGTTATCTTACCTTAAGATAAACTTGTTAGACAAAATCATCATAGCTTGAACTTACATTCTGTGTGGCGTTAAAAACTACATATTTATAAGGGAGTGCATAAAGAAGTTCCTTTACTGCCTCTTCAAATATTTCAATTGCAAGGGTATGCTGTTTGTTGAAATGGCTAAAGGCATCAACTCTCATTTCTTTTACTCACTTTTCTTGGAGCCCAATTTTTCATCAGAGTCTTCGGCTACACAGTCGTCCATATTATATTTGCCACAATAGATGCTCTTTAGTATAAACAATGTCAATTCCTTTCTAAACACTAATCAAGAAAATAATTAGCTATATCTATGATTAAAGTGGGCAATTAGATATCATCCATCACCCATTGATATCTATGACTTCTGAAATGATGTCTAATGAAGCATGGCTTCTATGGTGCTTACGATGTAGTAGATGGTAGTTAATTCAATCCAGCTTCGTACTGTTTTTGTGGCTCTGAAAATGTAAGGCTATCAGATTTCTTGAAAATTAGATCTGCGTGGGAAAGTTACCATATAGCTGGTCTAAATTTTTTACAAGATCCAACCTTCTGTACCAAGCTACCAGCTCACCTGCAAGCATTATTATTTAGCATAATTATATTCTGTAAGCACTGTATCACAACAAAATCTGGTTGTTTGTGTTCTATGCCCACCAGATGATTAATTCACATGCACATCTCAAGAATATCTGAATAGAGTAAGAAATCATATTATCAATCACATTTACTTGTGATCATCAGAAGGGCGGGCCTGGTGCAAGCGGTAGAGTTTTACCGCCTGTGACTGGAAGGTCCCGGGTTCGAGTTGCGGTTTCCTCGCATTGTACAGGCGAGGGTAAGGCTTGCCACTAACACCCTTCCCCAGACCCTGCACAGAGCGGGAGCTCTCTGCACTGGGTACGCCCTTTATTTACTTATGATCATCAAAACGCAAAGAACAGGGTCAGCTACATACCTGTTCTGGGCTCTAAAATGTAAAACATCTTTGGTAATCCACCTATTTATGAATATCTGAGTGTTCTATCAAGTTCTATTCTATTAGAAGAATTTTATTTCCTTTTGTAGGGCTCATCTATTCCAAAAGTTAGATATGCTACATGTTTCTTCATTATATCTTTACAGCAGTCCTATATTCTCATACATCATGATGTAGTCTTTGTTTCCATGCAGGCTCTTGAAATGAAGCTCTGCCTGCAGTTATTTGGCAGTGGAAGGATGTTGTTACATTTCATAGAGAAATGCCACGCAATTTTTCCCCTTGAGCATAGTGTTCTTTCAGCTTAGTAGACTGAACCTTTTCACTTTTTAGCATTATATAAAATACTATTCCCCATGTTGAGCTATGCTAACAATGCAAGGATAACTTAACTATTGTAGAGTTGACATACAACTATGGAGTTGCACGATTTAGTGAGAGCAATGTATATGAATCGAAACTAGGAATGTCATTACAGTTACCATAATTAATTTGATGATCAGGTCACATGAGAAGACTAAGGGACTGGATTGCTATGATGTGATCAGGTTCTCAATCTCAGTAATGTTCTCATGCAAGATGATGTTGTATTCTTCTCCAGTAACACCTAAGTTCAACCTCAAAATCATCATATCTCTAATCTCCTAGCTCAAGTGCTAAACCTTTTGCAGTAATAATGGTAAAAAAATGCTAAGCTGGTGAACTCCAAAGGAGGGCACGGCAAAGCCGCACCAGTTTTCTAGTGGTTTCTTAAAGTGCACACACGTACGGAAGAGTATAGTTTCAATTCAAGACATTGATTCACGATTGTGATAAAAATACATAGCTAGCATGACATTGACGCGTTTTACAGTAGAAGTTGTCTCATACATGAGCAACACCAAGGTTTTAAGGTTATGTTTAGAACTATTTCACCAACTCTGTTCCACCAATTGCATTATGGAATAGCTTAAAAAACTAGAGTTTCTCCAGTACCTCTCTATGTGCACCACAAAAAAAATCAGGAATTAGCCCTCAACTTCACCTTTTCTCTAGAGCATAGTTCATGGAGTACTGGAGTTGTACTTGTTTGGCTAGCGAAGTTGAAAATGAATGCTGGACATGTTAGAGCGGAGCAGTCGTAAGCAGACCCTAGGTAGCCCCACACACTAACAGACCCCACACACTAACAAACCTAGTTCAAATGAAGGGTATCATAGTTTCATAAAAAAAAGAAGGGTATCATTTGAATACCCATCATTTTTACCAAACTAGCAGGTCGGCGAGGCCGATTCGATGATAGTTCTTTGCCTGGAAGACCCACGAATGTCTCTCGGGAAGACCCGTTAGGGAGACACACAGTGAGAGTGACTTAGGATGGACAACGCCACCTAGAGCACTGACAAATCTCGGTGAGAGACGTGCTGGATAGGAGGGGGGTTGAAAGAGCTTGAGGTAGAAGAAAAGGTAAAAAAATTGTAATAAATTGGTTTTTTATCTATTGGATGGATGGATTTCTCAATCGGCCGATTTCCTCTCATATAAATAGAGGGGTGGTTTTATCCTAGTGGGAAACGTACTCCACACGCAATCTAAAACTTTACCATGAGATCCGAGGAATTTCCAACAAAAAAAATCAGGATTTGGCTTCTGATCTTATTTGAAAGATTTCAGACCCTACATGAAAAGCATCACATGTAAGAATTTGCACTAGAGCACATAAAAAACAATTCTAGTTTTGTTAAGCTTTAAATCCACTACTTAACATGTGCCTAACACAAGAGATGTCACAGTTATCAAAGTTATTTTTCCTTTTTAATTTAAGTTGTTTTGGAGCCAAACTGAGTTTAAGCTA